AGGTACTCCATGTGGGAGATTGTTTCAAGGGCCCTGTGTTCACTCATTCTTGGCAGGGCCTTTTTTTTTTAAATTTTCTTCAATAAAGCTTTTACAACTTAAACTGGTTCTGCTTTTTCAATATTGGGTATCAGGCACTGATTCAGGTCTTGGTTCCTGACTGTACTCCATCTTAATGCAGACATTTTGGGAGATGGTGTGCATCAATATAAGGATTGACTGGAAGTCTTCTTGGTATGTCCAGATCTTCAAGCTAAGGCAGGCTGTGGGAAACAAAGTATAGACATTACACCACATCTTAATTTGATGCATACTTCAGTGGTAACTAACACTCCAAAAACATTGAGGCAGAAGTGATCAACCACCTTGATGTAAAAAGTCAGGTTTCTTTGCAGCATCAAGGATGAACTCCAGAGCCATGGATGCCTTGTTTCTGGCCATAAGATGGATCAGCACCTGTTAATTCAAAATCTTAAAGTTGCTTACAAGTTAACTGAGCCTTAGATTTCATTGTTTCACATGAGAGCAATGAAATCTTTTCACTAAAGCTGCATTATCATACAGTAACTGAAACTTAAACACTACAGTTCATTCTGACCCTGTGTACAAATACAGAATGAAAGCACTTATAAAGATGCTAATATGCACTCCTTACAGTTGTCTTAAAACACCATATATTAAACTAGAAAGTTTGTCAGTGGAAAAAATGGGTCAGATTGGAACAAAGAATGAAATGTATGCAATTACATTGCATTCTGTTAAAATTGAGAATTTTCATCAAAGTTGCTCAAACACTTGAGAAATTATAGTCTGATCTAAACCTATCAATCAGTGCTAGTATAGTACTCTCACTTGAACCACCACAACTTTAGAATGTTTCTCACCTCATCAGCTTGCAGTTGACATCCTTATGTAGGAGCGACGGGCCCAGAACACTGTCCATCCTCCTTGCAATACGCCCGAGACTATTTACACTGAGTCCTGTGGTCTATTGAAAGATACATGGGAGTTAGTCCTATAATGTCTGTTCTAGTTATTACTCTGATCACAGAAAGACAAACCTGCACATACTAACATTTAGTAAAAATCAATCACATTTTACACGAATAAGATTCATTAAAGGGCTATTGCATTCTTTATTCAGGTTTCTCAGTCTATGATACACTTTGAGGCTAAACGAGTTTTAATGACAACTGTTTTCTCTA